CCTGTGGTAGACTGGATCGTTGGCTCCACGCCTCCCTGGGACCACGCTGTTTGCAAGGTGGCTTTGCCTTCCCAGCTGTAAGAGAATGGAGTGGACTTCTTTCCCTTTGCTGTGGTGTCGGCTACATAACTTAGCATAACTAGTGGAATTCCAGAACACTTGGTGGTTTCAGAAGTCCATGACCTGGCTAGCCCACTGTGTAAGGAAAGAATAAAAGGGGCGGGACAGAGAAAAGGGGCGGTAACTGGGCCCAGCTACTCTGGCTGGGTGAGAGTAAACGGTGGCTGGAGCTAGAGGGTAGTGTGTGATGTAGCATGACTGTGCTCTGCTCTTCACGGGGCCCTTCTAGATGATGACGATGAATATCTGAAAGATGAGAGTCCCCCGGGACCGAACTCTGTCTAACCAAAATGCTGCAGGCAGAGTTCACATAGAGATGTCACAGAAGGAAACGCTAGACGATCCACTTCAGAAAAATGAGCCGGAAGCCCCACAAAACACAGCTCTACTCTTACAGCAATGGTGTCTCTCTGGAGACTAAGGTGCGCCTGATACAGGCCATGGTCTTTGCAATCGCTTGTTATGCATCAGAGAGTTGGACAATGACTAGGGAGGACAGAAGGAGGAGAGTGGATGCTTTTGAGCTGTGGTGCTGGAGAAGAGTACTGAATGTACCATGGACTGCCAGGAAAACAAACAGATTCATCTTGGAGAGGATTAAACCAAGCTACTCCTTGGAGGCAAGGATTCTGGGGCTTCGTCTGACATACTTTGGACATGTTGCCAGGAGGGACGGGTCCTTGGAGAGGGACATCATGCTTGGTAGGGTGGAGGGACGGCGCAGGAGGGGAAGACCCTCTATGAGATGGATTGATTCGGTGACTGGGGTAATCGGGATGGGTGTGTCAGAGGCGGTGCGGTTGGCGCAGGATAGAGCAGGGTTTAGGGCTGTTGTGCATAGGGTCGCTATGAGTCGCAAACGACTCGACGGCACATAACAACAACAACTCTTACACATGGGTGTCCGTGAGGGGATCACACCCTAAAGGCAATGAGTGATTTTAAAACTGAGGATGGGCCCTGGATTCATAAAAAGACTTGACACCAAACTGCACTTCATGTATCCTCCTCCTCTGGGCCCTGGTGGTGTGCTGTGTTACATGCTGGCTGGCTAGCTCAAAGGTTAACGGTTTGAATCTGCTCAGAGGGAGAATGAGGAAGCAGTACCCTCCTTTTAGATGTGTCGCCTCAAAAGCTGGCTGGAAGGTGGTGTGTTTGGGTGGGTGCACTGGCCTCTGGGGAGGGATGAGGGAACTGCTGAACTGTGGCTTCCCGGTCATATTGTAAAGGCACTGATATGTGCAAGTTCAATGGCGATGACATTGACATTGACTTCTCTGGGAAGCAGCACTCCAAGCTTCATGTCACAGAATCTTAGAGAAATGGCCAAGCCTAACAGAAGTCAAACTGCTCACGTCTTACAGAGCAACTCGTTCAATCTCAAGTGAAGTGCATATATGGAAAAGCAAGGTTTTTAGGGCAACCTGCCACTTCATTCTCACCTCTTCTTCCTCACCCTTCCCTGGAAAGACAGAAAATGAGTCTCTTCCTTTTTCCAAAACACAGTGGCAAACCCTAAGTCTTTTCCACATCAAACTCTCAAGAGTTCCTTCACAATTTCATTTTCTCTTCACCAATTCCGAAATGTATAATTATAGATAATCCCTAAAGTGTCCAGGAAGCATTACTGTGTAAACAAGGGACCAATTACTCCCAGTTATTTGGCTGTTATTTTTGTAATTATTTCTATTAATTTCTTCCCCACCTCCCACTGCTAAAATAATTTGGCTGGCTTTCTGAATATTTCTGTGCCTCGGGAGTGTCATGACTGTTTTCTCCATTAATAAGAATAATAAATAGTATCCCCCCTTAATGTGCTCCCCAGAGGACCTACTAGATGCCAAACACTTCCTCTCAGCTAGCTCACGAATCCATGGAAAATCCTGGGGGTTGTATTATCTTTTCCACACTAAATGAGGATACAGTTTCAATGAAAGTAAGTCGTTGGTACCAGGGACAGCCAGAGAGACCCAATTCCAGGCTGCTGGACCAGAGTTCTGGCTTCCTCATCCCGTATTCTTGGGGACAGGACTGGACTAGTGATGTCACTGAGATGGCATGGAGGAGACACGGGTCAACATTCTCCCCATTCATTCCTAGTTTATTGAACTCACATGGGTTCTTACCATGTGCCACTCACTACAAAATGACTAGAATTAGCACTGAGATAGAAAGGAATCACAGGAACCGGTGTTGTGATCTTGAACCAAAAGTTTTTTAATTTCTGCCGGTAAGGTTGCTGAGGAAGGGAAGAACCGAGTTCAGGACATGAGAGACAGTTTATTGAGGAGAAACTGCCGGGCTGGCTCTCAAGCAGAAAACCAGCCCCCACTAAGAGTCAGAGGGGGATTTTAAAGTCCGCTTGATACAGGCCATGGCTTTTGTAATCACTTGTTATGCATCAGAGAGTTGGACAATGACTAGGGAGGATAGAAGGA